ATTTCATACGAATAATGAGTTTGTTAAATGCGGCAAATTGTAAAATGCAGACAAAAACAGAAGTCACACTGGGTTAAAGAAAAATACTTGAATTTGAAAAATATGTGGTGGCCATCTGACTTTGAGAGCACTTCAATTAGCTGGCTTGTTGGTTTTTTATTCCTTTGCTGGAATATGAGTTTTGGTTATAAGAGAAATTTAATCTGCTCAGAATACAGGATTTTAGAGATCAAATCCTAATAACATACCAGAAATAACTCAGACAGTGACAGTTTAGACATGTTTCCAGTATCACCTGATAAAAGAGAAAACCTACAGTTGCACAAGTACCACACCCCTCATGCAGCCACCTCACAAGACTACCAACTGAATTTGAAAATACCATGTCCTGATAGGCAAGTGCAGGTACTAGTTTGCTCTGGTGGGCCATGACAATGTTTATACACATGAATGCTAGGGCCATCACTATTTCTTCATCTTAATGCCTGTCTGTAGAACAAGTGTGTAACTTACTGCAACCGCATGTAATAAATGGAATCCAATACTAGAAATGCCTAAGCCCGTGAGCAGAGAATAGAACAGCTTGAATTTGTTTAAAATACAACTGCTCTCACTAAAAGTTATTTTGAATTCATATATTCAATAAAATGAACAGACCTACAAGCTTGTGGCAAGCTATATTAACAATTATTTTGGTCTCTGAAGAGATACGGAAAGAAAAAGGGCTTTTTTATTATTCATCAAAGACTGCACTTTTGCACTGGACTAGAAAATGAGCTGCATGATGCGGAAAGATAAATTTGTTATTATTCACCGCTCTCAGAAGACTGCACCTTTGCACGAGTGCTAGAAAGCACTTAGGCTACGTCTATACTGCTCTGTCTCCCAGTTTCAACATCCACCGTGGTGGCTGCTGCTGACATATCTCCACACAGACCTGATCGAAGCACACACCAGCTTAGCCACATACTACATAGCGAGAAAACACCAAGCACACAAGCCAACAGGAACTGCAGTATATGTCCATGATTTTGTTCAGAACTAAACTACGTGAAAAATGGTGGTTTTATTTCTATGGATTTGTTACAAAGGAAGGGTAGAAATTTAAAATATATAGTAGTCAGCGTAAGTTTTACCAATTGCATAAAAATATTTTTTGAAAGTAAATAAAATAGCATCATAAAGCAATTCTAAAATATTCACAATATTGCCTGATTAGAAATCTATACCCTGTTATCTGACATAATTATAGGTTACAGAGGATGACAAGTGTTTTCCATCTCTTTTACAATCCTTTCAGAATATCAGTTCTTCATTCTAGCCTATCTGTATACTCGCAAGAGACCCGTTGACTACTAAGCATATACAAATAACTTACGTCCCAAGTACATGTTACAATGAACAAAAAAACAAATCCTGATTCAAATATGTTGCTTATACATAGATTCAGTCTGAATTTACACTCAAATCTATAGGAGACTGGCTTAAGGTATAGATCTGAGATATTATCCTGTATGCGTTATTTTGCTTTTGTTAGATGTAAATGATGTAAGTAGAAAGTCTAACAAGGATGACAAAGATATAAAAGCTCAGTATTGTGGTGGTTTCAGCTAGGACAGAGTTAATTTTCTTCATAGTAACTAGTATGGGATTTGTGCTGAAAACAGTCTTGACAATACAGGGATGTTTTCGTTATTGCTGAGCAGTGCTTACATAGAGCCAAGGCCTTTTCTGCTTCTCACACCACCCCACCAGCGAGCGGGCTGCGGGTGCACAAGAAGTTGGGAGGGGACACAGCTGGGACAGCTCACCCTGACTGACCAGAGGGATATCCCACACCACAGGGTATCATGCTCAGTATACAAACTGGGGGGTGCTGGCCAGGAGGGGCTGATCACTGCTCAGGGACTGGCTGGGCATCAGTCAGTGGGCGGCGAGCAATTGCATTGCGCATCACTGGCTTTTCTTGGGTTTTATTTCTCTCTCTGTTATCATCCTTTTTAAAATTTATTATCATATTATATTTACTATGGCTATTATATTATTATTAAACTGTTCTTATCTCAATCCACAATTTTATTTTTTTTCCAATTCTCCTCTCCATCCCACTGGGGCAGAGAAAGGAGTCAGCAAGTGGCTGTGTGGTGTTTAGTTGCCAGATGGGGTTAAACCACAACAAGTATGTACAATATGTCCTAGAACTGCCCATTCATATTTAAATAATTTATAAATAGCTGAGCAAAGATCATAACATTCTTAGCACAACAGGTTAGCAAAGTGACATGCTATGTGCTGTGATGTGCTCCTCCAGTCTGCTAAGGCACCAGAGGTTATCTTTAATACACAGAAAAACACAAGATGCCAAAGGCAGGTATAAAATCCTGGGATCTCTGACTGTTGTGAATGCTGTACGTCATTTAAAAGTTTGTACTTGAATCCAATTAGAACACTTACCTGAATTAATAACTGTGACCAGGTTTAGAGAGATAATAGTTATGTAAAAAATACTTGGGTTAACATTCAGTAAAGATATGTCAACATGGAAATTTCCTGGTTAAATAATCTTCAGTGTGAAAGAAACCACGAGAGTAGAGAAGACATTGTTCCTAAGCTAATTATACACACTTGCATAAATCAGCAACCTTCTTTTAATTATGTTCAGATAGGACATATAGAAAAATTCTAAGATGGTAGGCATGCTTCTGCACCCTATTAAAACAGCGGTAAGACAACTCTTTACTTCAAAGATAAAAGGACTGGTTTCCTTAGCAAAAAAATTATTTACATCTCCAGGTACAACAAGGATGTACAGTTGCCCACCGCTGATCTTCTCTCTCTCCTGCAAAAATAAAATATTCTTCATAGAGCACAATGTTCTGAACTTTTCTGTTGCTGCTTTTCCTTACCTTTGCACTTGTGACTTTATATATAAATATTGTCCTGTTTATTTCATTTTTAAGTGCTGATCCTTGGCTTTTGCAGTTAGAAACCACACATGGAAGCTGCATGGTCGAAGCACTGGTGGTCCTAACCCACAGTACCCTACACAGTAATAATGTTTCTCCTGAAACATTTTGGTGGTTCATTCTTTATATGTGCTCTTACTTCAGATGTCAGTAGTTCTGGTTTGATATGTGACTTGGGGAAAAATATGAAGTACATATACAAAATACATCATTTCTGTACATGATGTATTTTGTTATTTCCATTTAGAGTTTAATTCTCCTTTTTTTTTTAAGAATTAAGTTGGGTAATATGTATTACATGCCATTTTAATTGTCTTTAGTGCGGCTTACCTAGAATTCTAAAGTATACCAGTTTTAGAACTGGCCTCCTCCTGAAAATATAAATAGATTCATCAACTAAAACATATTAAAACTATATTTATAATTTAATAAAAACACATGGTATCTTACAGAGAACTGACTTATTAAATGATCCTATATTTTCAGAATCCACATCTAGGTTAGAAAATGCTGTAAGATTTTTTAAAAGGCTTAAAATACATAGATATTACATAATAATTCAGAAGAGTACACTGATAGATCATCTATATAAAAGAAATACACTCTAGAAATAAAAGCATGTAAATTAATTGAAAATGCTTTATCTAATAGTATTTAGATTCCTATAGTACTTTTTCAGCATAGCTATAACTGTATTTTTTAAATGGAAATCAGAACAAAACACGTAAGTGTATTTCCTATAATCATAAAGCAAAGCATGGCAGAGACCGGGAAAAAAAATAGTCTCTCATGTCCTGGGTTTGTTCTTCATCCAGATTGTTTTCTGGAAGAGAAAGAAAATAATACATAATCCTTCAGGGCACCTGGAACTGATTCTTTCCACTCAACAAATTGGTGCTACTAGCTTACTCCAAGTAACAAAATGGGAAGAAAAGGTTTCATCTCCGTAGCTGTAATAAAATTTCCATTATAAAAACAATCGACATATTAATTTTCATATATATATAATGACAGAGAGATTTATAAATTAAATGCCTCCACAATGTATTTCCTAAAAACATTCACTCACCAAGGCTATGCACCTCATTAAGCAAAAAGCCCTGAATTTTAGTTTACAATTTAGATCTCACAACATACTGCATTTAAGAAACCTGAGAAACGACAGGATCACCAAGCAGAAAGTACTGGGGCTCATACTCTGCTTCTTCACATATGCTCAGTATCAGTTTACAGAACAGAGAATCAGGCCCTCTGCTTCACTTGAGTTTTTATATGGTTAGGTTACCATCACCAGTTCTGTTTCTATTTACATTTAAAGTACTTTCAACGTTTATACACATTATTTAACCTCTAACAGGTTAGTCTTCTTTCAAGTTAAGTCACGTGTTACAGAGGGAGATCAGTATCTGTGGTAGGTGTCCAGATCAAAAGTTTCATTAACTTCTTACAGTTTGCTACCTGGACTGTTAAGGAAAACTTAATTAGAGGTGCGATCCGACAACACCAGGAGGTTACCTGGAAATGGCAGAAATTATGAAAAGAGGAAGGTTCCTTCTGTGTGCGCAAAGGCTTCTCTCCACAGCGCAGCCCCAACTGGCATCAACTCTCAAAAGCTGGCTAATGATGCTCGGTAAAACGCTATATACAGGCTAAGTGAATTCTCTCCAATAGCTTTATCTGAACCGCATTGCATATTCATGGTCTAATTTTTTGTTAACTATTTTCCTAGACTACAGGAGACACTGTGGCCACTCAAAAGTGACTTCTGAAATGAACTCAAAAATGACTTCTGAACTGATCCAGTAAGCGACGAAGGTAGGAATGCAGCAAAGGACATTCAAAGCACCCACCATGCAACTCGACACTGTAAGACTCACTTTCAGCTGCAACACCCAGGGAAAGCACACCAAATAATTTATTTTTTTAAAAAAAAATAGTAAATAATTGGCCTGTATTTTTAGAAGTGAGGACACCACTCCGAGCACAGGTTGGCCAGCCGTAACTCCCGCCCACCTGTACCGGAGCCGCAGCAACCGCGGCCGCCAGCCCGGGGACGCCCGCAGGCCCCAGGACGCCGCAGCGGGGAGAAGAGGCTGTGGCCGCCGAGGGGAGCCTCCGCCGGCATCTTTCGGGGCGGACATTTTCTACCCACCCCCACCCTGCCCGCCTCCGGCCAACAGTCCCGCACCTGCTGGCGCCACGCAGCGCTCTGAGGCGGGGGTCTGTCCGCTCCCGCCCGACCCGGGAGGCGGCTGGGCCGGGGGCTGTGAAGTGGCGGGGGGTGGCGGTGCGCTGAGGCGAGGCCGGGGCCGGTGTCCTGAGGTAAGGTGAGGCAGGGGCTGGGGTGCTCAGAGGAGGGGCGGTGAGGGCAGGAGGAGGGCGGACCGAGGCGCGAACGACGCGGGTCTGCCATGGCCGGCACGGCGGGTCCCCAGGCCCCCGGCGCCCTCTCCCCGCCCTGGAGCTCCCCCTCATCCACCACGTGCGGCATTTTCCGGGCAGCAAAGCCCGGCGGTGAGCCGCTCTCCCGGCGGGGACTGCCCGTCCCCTCCGCTGCCCGGAGCATTTCGAGCCCTCATCCTGCCCCGCGGCCCCGGCTCTGCTTCTTCCGGGCATTTTGCTTCCCACCTGCACGCCTTCTTATGTAAGGCAGGATCCTATGGGGAGCGGGGTGTCAGCACACACACACACACACACACACACATATACACATATACATACACATACACATACACGCAGGCAGGCAGGCGGGCGGGGGGGCAGGTTACACGCACACAGCATCCCCTCCGCAGCCGCTCCTGTGACGATGCCGATACCTTTTATCCAGGCAAGCGATCCACTCGCCGGAGGATGAGGAATGGGAGGTGTGAGCGGCGACCATGTTGGACAGGGATCAGGTCGCCGCGCACCCGGCTGGCGGCGGCTCCCCCCGCCCGCCCGCCGGTCGGTCGGTCCGTCCTCCCTCCCTCCCTCCCTCCCTCGCTCCCTCCCTCCGCGCACGGCGCGATGGGCTCGCCCAGGCCCCCGCGCCAGCCCGCCCTGCCCGCCGCCGGCAGCGGTGCGTGGGGCTGGGGGGCCGCCTCGCCGCCCCTCTGCCTCGCCGCACCCCCGCCTTGCCGCCTCGCCGTCCCCCCGGCCTCGCCGCCCCCGCGCCTCTCCGCCCCCCCGCCTCGCCTCCCCCCGCTTCTCCCCGCCTCGCCGCCCCACCGCCTCGGGGTGCGACCCGGCGCCGCCTCGGCCGCCCGGGGCAGCCGCCGGCCCGGCCGGGAGGAGCGGACAACCCCGCGGCTCCGCAGCCGGCAGGTAGCGGCCCGGGAGAGCGGGCGGAAAGGAGACGCTCCCCTCCTGGAAGGTGCCGTCGCCCGGCTTTCGTGAGCTTCTCAGTACGCACACTTGAGCCTGGCTTAGTGATCCCTGCCTTTGCTTCACCAGAGATGTCCTTGACTGGGTTTGGGGTGGCAGGGAAACACAAGCTTTTTAATGAGAATAAGCAGCTCAGGAGTATTTCAGCAGCTCGAGAGAGAGCTGTGTGACAGTCCCCCCAGTAGTGAACCCACAGCAGCTGAGCGGAAGGAAGGTGTGGTTCACATTTAAGGAATTTTTCTGAAGACTTCCGTCAGCCTGCTGTCCGTCCTTGTCATCAGCCATGAAACTGTGTCCTAAAAGGCTCTGGTTTATTGTAGGTGTGAGCTGGGCAGTACAGGCTGTGAGTAGCATTTAACAATTGGAAGAAGCCCAACATGCGGCATGAGAAGGTGAGTCTAGTGCACAGTGAAAACTATCTGCACCCTTCTGTTGTAATAGTGTGGCCTGCAAGATGCAGGGTATTTTAAGGATGCTAATACAGACATGATTTAAAAGGTGATGAGCAGAGGAAGGAATGCAGAGCAGTAGGTCTCCCTGTTTTGCAAAGTTCTATGTGAAATATTGTCTACAAAATATTTCAGGATCTAGATCCTATGTTCCCAAGTAATCTGTGTATAACCATAAACTTCAGTTTACAGTCAATACAACCTGCCTTGAGTAGTGTGGGAGAAGGGTAGGAAGCTACACAAATGGCAGCAGGATGTTTGTGGTTACGTGTAGATGATAGCAAAGTAAACTGTGCCTTCAAGCAGGCCTATAACTCCTCTCTGCTTTACAGTTTGGACACAAATGATTAATTCAGATGCTGGTAATCTGCTAGTGCCTTTTACAGTTCTCTATGGGCTATCTTCTCTGACCCCTGTTCTAATCTCTTTTGTTGTACCAAGTGTAATTTTCTTACATACATGCACTACTTCACATTTCATACCTACCTTTTAACAGCCTCATTGCTGCCACAGCTTCTTCAGCGCTTTAGCAGAAATGAATGTTAACATCAGAATACTGAACAGTATGATGAAAAATGTAAAGAAATGTATCTAAAAATCCCTTTTGCTAAAAGGATACAGCTAAGAAATTGGCATAGCAGAGGAGAATGCCATAAAAGCCAATTCTTACACTTTGCCTTAAAAAAATTAAAGTGCATGCCAGAGTAACAGAAAAAGCTGCCAGTCAGTGAGATCAAAGCTGCAGCTCTTCCTTTGCTATAAGTCCATGGGGAAAAAAATGAGAAGTTCTTGCATCTAAGCAATCGATCTACTTGAGGAAAATCAAAGCTATTAATTCTTCAATATATGAGTGTTTGGGAACCAACAGAACAGAGCTTCAAACGTAAGAAACTAAATTCTCAAATTAATGATTTATAACACAGTATGTACCTTACAGGTGAATCAATAAGGCTCACTAATTTTGTACTTCCATTATAAAACATTCATCACATTATCCCACATAATTACAATTTTCCTTTCAGAGCAATCACACAAGGCAGCCCTTACTGCCCTTTCTCCCCTCAACCCAGTTCAAGCTGCAGTAGATGCTCTTTCTTCTCAACTGGCATCAGGCCTGAGAAGGAGCCCAGAAATTACTCCTAGGTGAAGGCCCTTATCTTTTCTCATCAGCCGTTTCACTGACACAAACAGCATTACACATACCAGTACCAGCAGTTCTGTACACAGCAACAGTGTAGCTCGGGCAGCAGAACCACAGTGCCGCAACTGTTCAGTGTTCACTGGAGCCACCTTTCTCAAGTCCTCTTCCCATCCCTATAACGTTTAATGGCCCAACCACTAGAGGACAGGCTAGGCCTCCATAAAAGGTAGCAAGCAGGGATATTTCCTTGGTAAGCAGAGGACTAAAAGAAAATAGCCTCAGCTTGAAAAGATGAGACCTTTGGAACGTGCTTTTGGGATGCAACTTGTGAAAACATTTGTCCGTGCTTATGAATTTACCCTTGACCAAGCAACCTACCTGCCCTGGGTTGGCCCTCTGCAGTTACCAATGCTTTTGATTCCAAGGAATGCAGTGCTGGTAGGCATGAGGGGGATGTTGTCCAAGTGCCTGGCTGTGGGCAGACACCACTCAGAGATGTACCTTTTTATGAAGTAACCATTAAATGAGAGTTTAACACATTGTGGATTGTGTATACTAGATGGGCCCAGACTGGGCTAGGAACCCTACGTATATCCATACTTAATTCAGAAGTGTCTCAATTAGAGAGCAATTAGAGCAACATGGCCAAAATATACCTCTGGCAGTTGGATTATGAGTAACCACGTAGCTTTCTGATTAAGACATGAGTGAAACTTCTCAGAGAAATTTAGGCAGCAGGGAATAAATATTTGATTGATCCAGGTTATCAGCCTGTGTCAACCAAAGGGTCTCCAAACTGCACAGAAATGTCAGGAGCTCCAGAGTACTGAAATCAGAAATCTTGAACCCCAGGTCAGTGCATGTTCTCCTGAGATAAAAGGTTTCAAATAAGCAGTATGTATCTCACATGACAAGTCAAATAGAATGCAGATTATCCTGTGACTCTTAAGAAATCAGACCATAACAAGCCTAGGAAACAAATCATTTGAGAGTACTGGCCTTATGTTAATGGGGTCAAGTGCTCATTCAGCAGTGAGTAAGAGCATATGCTAAAGGAAAATGCTGAAGTGCACTTCCTTAGTATAAGGACCGTATCTCTTTTTGGTGCCTCCTAGTGCCTGTTCTTCATTACTTTTCTAAGATATGCACTTGTATGAAAAAGAGATGACCCAAAAGATATTTGAGACTCAGGATTGTTAATGGCCAAAACGGTACTTACGCTCACTCTCATCTACATCTATACGTGCCTTCTGTTACACCTCTTGTGAAGTTTCACCTGAGAAAATGTAAAGGATTATGCATCATTAAAATGACTGGTGGTGTGAAAATACCTTTCTCAGAAATGAATCGTTCTTTTTCAGCATTTGTGGAACTCCACAATAATGTTTCAGATTTAGTTTCTCCCTGTTGAACAGAAGGCTAATGGGACTTTTTAGAATATGATTTATGGGACTTGATTATGCAGCCAAAAATTTGGAATGGCAGCTGCTTTCAAAAGAGATTGCTGCTGGGAAATGGAGATTTGCCAGCTGAGGTGTGTGAAAGATCAACTGGCCTTCTAACTTTCCATAGTTTACAAAGGAGTAGCAGAGCCATGCAGAAGCCCTTAAGCCACAGAAAACCAGAAATCAGCCAGCCTTTGAGTTAACCAGTGCCTGTAAGACTAAGAGTCAGAAAGTATAGGGTCCAAACTGTTTGCATTATGGGACATATGGCAGATCATGTTGAATTTCATACCTTGACTATTTCTTTCCTTGCCAATACAAATACTTGTTCCTTCACTATTTTACTCAAGCATGGCCAAAGAACTCTTGCTAAATCTTTCAGAAAAAAATAAATTCTCCTCAAACAGGAACCTGCTATGAAAAACTTGACCCAAAAGATAGTTGTTAGACCTTGAAAAAAATTACTAAATATATTTATTGAGGTGTGCATTACATAGTAATAGGGTACAAAAGAAGGCTACTGTGGGCTCTTTACACCACTAATTATATCAAGAACCTTAAGAAGTTTCAAGCAACTACAATAATACTGTTAAAACAAACAGTAGGGGTTACCCTATTTTCTACAGCAGTTTTGGATGCTATGTATAATACTCCACGCTAATGAAATTACAGTTGCGATATAGTGAGGAATTAGTGGACACAGAATCTGTAACTGCCATTGGCATCACAAAGCATTTTAATTTCAGAGCAAACTCACACAGAACTCCAGAAGCTCAGTTATCAGTTCTGGCCATCTGTGTTAAAGAGACTACCTAGGGGAAACAGCTGGCTTCCAGCCACTAGTGTACTCCCCTGATTCCCATGTCTGTTGAAGTATTGCTCAGCCTCAGGACTCTTCTAATTCAGACTGACTGTACTGCATTGACTACAGTCCTTTGTCCCTAGAATAGAACTGGGAGACAAGGTAAGGTAAGGCCAGCTCCAGCAGCTTTAAAACTTTTAAGATTTCCTTTCTCTAGAGGAATCTCAAGTTTGTCACCTAAGCTAATTTTAAGTATGTTTTGCATTGCTCTATAGAAGACAAACTAATTAGCATAAGTCCAGAATGAGCACATAAATTCTACCTCAAACAATAGTTTAAACTAATCTATTACTTGGAAGCCCTGAAAATAAAATCAAGACTGACAGAACTACAGTGTGTGTTTAGAATCCAGCAGTGCCACATTCAGTGCAGTTGGGACTGTAGGAACCAAAATGTATTATCAGTTGTATATATACAACACCTACTGATTTCAAAGGAGTAATCAGGATATAGTGGAATAAAGACAGAGAAACATATGAGTTCTTTCAGGATTTGTGTGCTGTGAGGGCTGCAAAAGATGTGATGACGTAAAAACTTAAAACCAATGCATGTATTAATAAAACTGTCCTGTAAAGCCTACAAGCAACATATTGATTCTCCTCTCCAATGGTGTTCCTTAAACCCGGCATATAATGACATAGTGAAGGGTTTTCTAGAGCAAGTAAGGACCTCCTTTCCCAATTAGCTTACTGCATCATTCCCTATTCTATCTCTTTCTTGCTGCTGTCCTTCTCACTGATTCAGTATAACTCCCCAGTTCACTTCAAAGCACCTTTTTCAGAAATTCCATGGCACCACAAACCTTTCCCCTCATCATTCAGGAAACCCTTCCAACACACTTCTCATTATAGCTCTGCCTTGATATTCTGGAAAAGGTCTGTGTTGCCAGCAACAAAACAAGTGAGATAGGTACAGATAGACTGATAAGAAACAGGTATGCTAGAATGAAAACGTAGAGTGTCCTATATAGAAGGTGTAGCATCAGCACAAGTGCAAGGTGGAGAAAACACAGCTGAGCTGATGTTTATGTGAATCAATAAATTTCAGATTCTGGGCTCTTTAAAATTAGTTGGCAGTTGGCTGTTATATTGTCTATATCATAGTAAGGGCCAACACGAGGGTTGTATTTATACTCCTTGAAACAAAATACTCTCAAATTCATAGCATGATTTACAATGAGTCTGTGATACCATTTCTCATTAAGAAAACATAACACAGCAAACACCTTTTGTATTATTACTTGGCACAGGTTTAGCAGCATTCTGTACAGAAGTGCTATAAACATTTTTCTGTTTGATGACCGATATCAAAGCCTTTCTGTGGAGTCACATTTTGAACAGATGGTCATTTGATTTGCACACCTGAAATCTGAGCCCATATCCTGAGATTAACTCCAAAAAGTCTCAAAGAAACCACACACTAAGAAATATGCTTCAAATTCATAATGTTGGCAACATTATGGATATGCAGAGTTTTCATATTTTTACTTTAACTA